TAACTTAGCTGACCTGATATCATCATGTCCATCAGGAAGGTAACTTAGCAGACCTGATATCATCATGTCCATCAGGAAGGTAACTTAGCAGACCTGATATCATCATGTCCATCAGGAAGTAACATAGCAGACCTGATATCATCATGTTCAATCAGGAAGGTAACTTAGCAGACCTGATATCATCATGTCCATCAGGAAGGTAACTTAGCAGACCTGATATCATCATGATCCATCAGGAAGGTAACTTAGCAGACCTGATATCATCATGTCCACCAGGAAGGTAACATAGCAGACCTGATATCATCATGTCCATCAGGAAGGTAACTTAGCTGACCTGATATCATCATGTCCATCAGGAAGGTAACATAGCTGACCTGATATCATCATGTCAATCAGGAAGGTAACTTAGCTGACCTGATATCATCATGTCCATCAGGAAGGTAACATAGCAGACCTGATATCATCATGTCCATCAGGAAGGTAACTTAGCTGACCTGATATCATCATGTCCATCAGGAAGGTAACTTAGCTGACCTGATATCATCATGTCCATCAGGAAGGTAACTTAGCTGACCTGATATCATCATGTCCATCAGGAAGGTAACATAGCAGACCTGATATCATCATGTCCACAGGAAGGTAACATAGCTGACCTGATATCATCATGTCCATCAGGAAGGTAACATAGCAGACCTGATATCATCATGTCCATCAGGAAGGTAACATAGCTGACCTGATGTCATCATGTCCATCAGGAAGGTAACATAGCAGACCTGATATCATCATGTCCATCAGGAAGGTAACATAGCTGACCTGATGTCATCATGTCCATCAGGAAGGTAACATAGCAGACCTGATATCATCATGTCCATCAGGAAGGTAACATAGCAGACCTGATGTCATCATGTCCATCAGGAAGGTAACTTAGCAGACCTGATATCATCATGTCAATCAGGAAGGTAACATAGCTGACCTGATATCACCATGTCCATCAAGAAGATAACATAGCTGACCATATATCATCATGTCCATCAGGAAGGTAACATAGCTGACCTGATATCATCATGTCCAACAGGAAGGTAACATAGCTGATATCATCATGTCCATCAGGAAGGTAACATAGCTGACCTGATATCATCATGTCCACTAGGAAGGTAACTTAGCAGACTTGATATCATCATGTCCATCAGGAAGGTAACTTAGCTGACCTGATATCATCATGTCCATCAGGAAGGTAACATTAGCAGACCTGATATCATCATGTCCATCAGGAAGGTAACTTAGCAGACCTGATATCATCATGTCCATCAGGAAGGTAACATAGCAGACCTGATATCATCATGTCCATCAGGAAGGTAACATAGCAGACCTGATATCATCATGTCCACCAGGAAGGTAACATAGCAGACCTGATATCATCATGTCCATCAGGAAGGTAACTTAGCTGACCTGATATCATCATGTCCATCAGGAAGGTAACATAGCAGACCTGATATCATCATGTCCATCAGGAAGGTAACTTAGCTGACCTGATATCATCATGTCCATCAGGAAGGTAAACATAGCAGACCTGATATCATCATGTCCATCAGGAAGGTAACTTAGCTGACCTGATATCATCATGTCCATCAGGAAGGTAACTTAGCTGACCTGATATCATCATGTCCATCAGGAAGGTAACTAGCTAGACCTGATATCATCATGTATCAAGAAGAAACAACTGACCTATTATATTCTAGGGAAGGTAAATAGCTGACCTGATTATATGTCCAACAGGGGTAAAAATGATATCCCCTATGTCCCCAAGAAAACTGCTGATTGATATATATGTACTGCAAGGTAATTGGGTTGAATAACATGACAGGGGTAATTAGCAGCCCGATTCAATTACCAGGGGTAATTAGCTTGACTTATATTATGTCCCCAGGAAAGTAAATGGGGGCCTAAAAAACATGTCTATCAAAGAAAAGGACCTGATAAGATTCCAAAGACAAGCACTGGTTCCTAAAACAAGATCGTGAATAAAGAAAAATTTTTTGGGGCAATTTTCTTTTCATTTTTATTTTAAAAAAAACTTGTGCACTGTTTTGATAAACCATAATTTTTTAAATTTGTTTTAATTCTGCTAAAATTTTTAAACGTTAAAATAATTAAAAGGGTTTTGATTATAAAATAATTTTTTCTTTTTTTTTTAGAAATTTTGGGAAAAAATTTTTTTAAGTAAGTTTTGATATTCAATTTTTTTGTCACCAGTGTTATCCATTTGATCCCATTATGAACTTAGACTGCTTCGAAGAAAGTGTAGGCAGAATCAATAACACATAAATGTGTACGCAGTATCTTGATTTTTAGGGTGTACGCAATATCATAATGTCTATTGCCTGTAAATAGTTAGTTTTAAGACATTTTTCGTACAAAGGAAAAATAACAAAGATTGAAAACATATTTGTTAAATAGATTTTACAATAAACTAAGTTCAACTTTGTGAAACTTTCAGTTTAATCGAAAATTTCTCATTTCAACGCCGGGTGTACGCAGTATCCAGAATCAAAATCGCATTCAACGCGAAATACTGACTTGTGTCAAGGCATTTGGAATATCAAAACAAAAGAAACTAAATTCAAATCTATTATGATTGCTTTACATGACTCGTTTTTGTTCAAAATACCGGCTGACCCCCTTGATTCCCTTGAATATGGATTTGCCAAGACAAGATGTCATTAATTGTAATACCCAATAATTTATTTCAGAGCTACAAACAATTTGCTCTGTTTTATAAGAAATATAAGGATGACTTTCATAAACATAATTTTGCTTGTGTTTTGAGGATTAAGCATGACTTTAGTTTTGGTAGTATTGATAGACATGCGATTCAAATTACAACATTTGTTGGCATTTAAAAGATCATGAGTAAGAGATTCAACTACTCTGTTTAGGGCTACATCAGAGGTTGAAAGGGTGGTGTCGTCATCAAAACTATTTGTTTCTGGTACTTTTTCCATAGACAAAGGAAGGTCATTGATATAGATTAAAAACAGAATACAAAGTAGCACTGGGCCCTTAGGAACACCAGTAGTTAATGAACTTGACTCTGAATATAAACCGGATATGTAAGTTTGTTGGGTTCTGCGATCTAAAAAGGATCTATTTCATTTTTGTAAATAGCTGTAATCCAAACATCATCAATTCTTATCAGTGCAGTTTGACATGAATGATTTGACCTGAATCCAGACTTGCGTTGGTAAAAGTTGTGTTTCCTTAAGGTATTGCTGTAAATGTGAACTGACATGACGTTCAAGAATAAGTGACATCAAGGGAAGTATGAAATTTGCCTATAACATCTATCATCACTTTTAGAACCCTTTTTATGTATAGGAATGACTTTGCATTTTTGAACGGTTGAGGAAATGTATTATTTAGAATGCTATTGTTGAAGACTTTGACTTAGAAGACTTTGATAATCATTTAGTGGTTGAAATTATTTTTCCAATGTGATTGTTCCATTTTTTTTAAAAAATTCTTTGTTTTTTTTAATCAGCATCAAATAGCCATTGAGTACTATCCTGTCATAACCGCACTATGTAAAGATCAAAACCATTAAGTGATTTCATTAAAGCTACATAGGAGAGAACAAGTGTGACAGTATACTTGGATTATGACTTAATTAAGATACCTTTATAGTATCTTCTTGTATTAATGAATTCAATTAAGTTTGATGAAATATAGATGTACAATGCATGCATATATTTTGTCACTGCTGTAACAGAAATGTATGTCCTGTAACTAAAACGTCACTTATGTAACAAGATGTAAATGCCATTTTTATTTAGCCACGGTCTTATCAGATGCAACTCAAACAACACAATTTAGCTTTCAGATGACACATTATCTTAACATAAAATAAAATGAAATTAAATAAAAGTTTTGTAAAATAAGGAAGTACTAGTACCATGTAAAATAAGGAAGTACTAGTACCATGCAAGCATATTTGTTGTCACTGCTGAAGTGTCTTTCGTGTAACATTACTGTTACTCATGTACAGCACATAAAATGTGTTTTTACCAAGGTCTTATCAGATGGTAAGGAAGTAACAGTTAATATTTTTCAGATAATCTTTACATGTTAACTCAATAACATAAAATAAAATTAAATTAAATGCACTTATTTATGATCATAGAAACTCCTCTTTCTAGCTGTTAAATATAAAAGTGTTACAGGAGTGCCATGAGAGAAGTAGTCATGTCATAGGGAATGCTCTTCTGACAATATAAAGACATACATGTATTAAGCTTGCATCATTGGGAAAAAATCCCTTATCACACCACAAAAAATTTCATCCCTCATAAAACATCTTAATATCAAAGATATTCAAACTGAAAATGTTGCGAAAATATAGAATGACTCACCTATTTACAAACGATAAGCTGTCTCTAACATAAATAACTAAAACGCATTTATGGGAAGTCCTTGCGAAAAACTGAGCATTCTCCAACTGTGTATAAAAAATTAAATATTTTAGAAATGTTTTACATCAATATGTAAATCGGCAAGTTGCATTGATGACTCACTCAGTCATCAATGCAACTTGCCGATTTTTCCGTTTAACCATTTTGAGCTCCACATTTCGATTTTGAAGAAAAATTTGATTGGTATTATAATGATCCACTAGTCGGCGTCAGCTTTGGCGTTGATTACCTTTTTGTTTAAGCATTAGCTTCAATACTTATAAAGCTATTACATTGAAACGTCAAATGAAATTGAAATTGCGAAAGTCAAAAAACGTGAATTCATGAAAAAGTGAAGTTGAAATCGTGAATTCATGAAGTAATATATGTGATTTCGCGTTTTTCGTATGCTAAAACCGTGAATTCATGAAGTTGAAATCAAGAATTACTATAGCTGAAATGTCCCCTCCCATTTTCGTATGTAACAGATAAGACATAATCGTGTTATATATGTACTATAAACATAATGTCAATATTGTTTTTTATTGATTTCAGATGGCGACGGAAATGTGGTAAATTGTTGCTCAGCAAATACATATTGTTGTTCATTGTTGTACTCAACATTATTGACTGTGCATTGGTTCTTGGAGAGTTGATACTTGATCTGCATCATGTTAAAGGTAAAAGTTAAATACCGTATTTTTTTCATGTAAATCTGAAACCGTAGTATGTATAAAAATGTTATACACTGTTTTGTTATAATTGCTATAATTGTCTATAGTTTTGTTAATATGCACCTCTTCGAAAAAGAGGGGGTATATTGTTTTGCTAATGTCGGTCTGTCTGTCCGCCTGTCTGACGGTCTGCCCGTCAGACGACTACATGATGTCCGCTGATTATCTTGAAAAGTATTCATCACAAAGTCTTCATATTTTACATAGTGATTGGTCATAACAAGTAGATGACCCCTATTGATTTTTGGGTCAAAGTCACAGGGGCCTTAAATGTCAAAATGGTTTCCGATGATTATCTTGAAAAGTATTCATCACAAAGTCTTCATATTTCACATAGTGATTGGCCATAACTAGTAGATGACCCTTATTGATTTTTGAGTCATTAGCTTAAAGGGGCTTCAAATATCAGAATGGTTTCCGCTCATTATCTTGGTTACAATTCATAACAAAGTCTTCATATTCCACATATTGATTGCTCAAAACTAGTAGATAACTCCTGTTAATTTTTGGGTCACTAGGTCAAAGGTCAAGGTCACAGTGGCCTTAAATGGTAATATGATTTCTGCTTATTATCTTGGTTACTATTTATCACAAAGTCTTCATATTTTACATATTGATTGGTTAAAACTAGTAGATGACCCCTATCGATTTTAGGGTCACTAAGTCAAAGGTCAATGTCACAGGGACCTTAGACGTCTGAATGGTTTCCGCTAAGTATCTTGAAAAGTATTCATCACAAAGTCAACATATTTCACACACTAATTGGTCATAACCAGTAAATGACCCCTATTTATTTTGGGGCCACTAGGTCAAAGGTCAATGTTCCAGGGGCCTGAAATGTCAGAATGGTTTCTGCTTATTATTTTGGTCACACTTTATCACAAAGTCTACATATTTCACATATTGATTGGCCATAACTAGTAGATGACCCCTATTGATTTTGGGGCCACTAGTTCAAAGTTCAAGGTCACAGGGGCCTTAAATATCAGGATGGTTAACGCTTACTATCTTGAAAACTTTGTATCACAAAGTCTTCATATTTCTCATATTGATTGGTCATAATTAGTAGATGCCCCTATTGATTTTGGGGTCACTAGGTCAGGTCAAGGTCACAGGTACCTTAAATGTCAAAATGGTTTCCGTTCTTTATCTTGAAAACTACTTATCACAAAGTCTTCATTAATTTGCTTTTTTTTCCATAACTGAACACTTTCATGTTTCCATGTACCCATTTATGGCAAGTTTCTATAACAAAATTACCAATAATGCGAGTCAAGGGCTAGAAAAAATTATGTTTTCTAGGAGTATTCTTTACTACAATATTCTTCCTTTAATGTGTTAAGTAATATGAAAAAAGCCCGCTTGGGGTGGTTCTTGTTATTTTATACTACTTTTCATTCCTTTTTTTATTATGTATTATTAAAAAGTCATCGTGTCCTCTCTATGCTCTGTATGCATGCACATTTATCTTGATATGATGTTATCACAAATAGACAAACAATTCGTAGTGTTGTCAGTCCATCATATTGACATTGCGTGCGTTATCGGAGTTTTCTCATATTTATGCAAACTGTATACGCACTGATTGTGTCAAATGCGTAACAAATTTCCGGTGTTTGCAAAAGATTTAGGACGTGTTACAAATCTATCGCATAATATAGCAGAAACAAATGAAAAGCTATCTGTCCCTCGAGTAATTTCATAGTATTCGATTACTAGCTTTAATACAAATTGTTTGAATAAAGCATCACAGATTATTGATTTTATTATGAGAAACACATTCAAAATTTGAAGAAAATATTTTTATAAAACTTACTGTATATTGTGTCTTTGACGAGCATGTTTGTTATTTCATAAAGAAATGAAAGGGGAATGGTGGCCTAGTGTTTATGGTGTCTGCATCTCAACCCAGGGATCATGGGTTCGAGCCATACTCCGGTCACGGCCATTGTTTCTTCATATGCTACCAATACTGGTTTGTTCCAGGGAGCGAACTTGAAAGAAATTAATATAAGTTGTAACGAATCGAGCTAAAATGAATAATTTTTTATACAAAACTAATGAAATGAGTCTAGGAATAGTTAATTTCTGTCCAAAAAATGGGTCATTTTAAAAGTAAATGGAAAAAAAAAGCATTTTCATTTGTTTGTTTCGACTGGTATAAGATGAATATAGCATTCATAAAATCGTTTAAGGTAAAATAATCCATTAGACTAACTGTCGTCTAGCATTGTTTTATGACAACCTTTTTCAGATATACTTTTTGAAACACAGCAATCGTCAGTTATGTTTCTAGAAACCCTGCAAACGAGGTATCCACATCACTTCTCTGGGATTCCTGGCGACCGCATAGACATCGCTTACGAAAAGATATTACTCGGCCAACTTTCTTGGATATCGCCACAAACGGACACTAATACAAGTTTGCAATCGGCACTAATAGGCGATAAAAATGACACAGCGTTCATGGTAAAAGCGGCATCATATGAACAAACAAAATATATCAATGATAGTGGATTCGCGTCTAAAACAATATATTCAAACTCTAATATAGCATTTATGCAGTCAAACAATATAAGTGAAACTAGTGATGTCAACTCATCTATGCAACAAGATCACGAGGACTCCGTGCTCAGACTTGTGGGATATATATTTCACAAGACAAGTTTATCCATCAGTGTTATACTTGTTTTATATGTAAGTATATAAATCTTCTTCTATATATATATATCATATAAATACACGACCTGCTGGGATTGTAATAAAATGAGAAATTTCAGTTAATGCCAGTTATTTTTTAGTATCATTGTTCTTGTTCACGTACTTTATATATAAATATATATAAATAAATATATCTATATATTCTTTCGGCACGACGCAGCCGGGACTGGAACCACGGGTCTCTGAATTGCCCAGTATGCTAACCACGACACAGCAGTCGTTGCGTATATTGTGCTAATTGACCTTATATATTTATGTTATTTTAACTTGATTTTGATGTTATCACTTTAATAACCATAGCGGCGAGCTATATAAATCAGGCGAAAAATCAACACGCCCAACCGTCCGTAAGCTCAATAGGGCGACCCGGGTTTGATTCCCTGACGGTGCAAGTCACTTTCGTTGTGATTGATCATGAAATCTTTTCTACGGTCATTAGCATTGTACCTCTGTCTGACATGTACAGAAGTTACAGTTCCTTAGGAAAGTGGAGGCAACTAGTACTGGTAAAAAGCTTGACAGCTTGCCTTGGAACGTTGCAATGTGGCTTACTGCCACGGGTCTTTGGGTTGCCGGTCAAGTGTGCTAGCGGCCGTACTTGCGTTTTCTTGGTGCTAATTGACTTATATATCTAAGTTATTTTTAACTTAATTGTGATTTCATCTCTTTTACTCCTATAGCGGCATAAAATAATATCTTTTCAAATTTAATTTTATTTTATACATATTATGATTCGAAACAATCTCGAAGTTTCATTACACCCCAGTTTTTTTTACACAGAGCCACCGGTGATTGATCGGTAAATTTTTAGCCAAAATATGGCAACGTATTTAACACCGATATCACCTATTGGTCACCTGTTTTCCACCTATCAACTGCTATTGAGGATTTACTTATCACGCTCTTTATGATTTCCTTCCGTAGATATATGAGCAGTTTTTGAAATAAAATGACAGGTGTCCGTCGCTTCTTTTTTCATTTATCATTTTGTTATATTTACACATATAATTTTGTTTTATGGTAATTGTTCATTGGAAATAAACTTTAACTATATTTATAATCATCTACATTATCTGCTATAAGCGGAAGACTGACGGAAAGGGCCGATATTTCGGTACAACGTTCACTCGCTTGGTGATGTTGTGGCTATAGTGTTTACTGAAACCTCTAATCTATCACATATGATTCATTTTTATTGGAGTAAAATAATGTTCTAACTGTACATAACATTTTGCTGATTATACGTTTTGATTACTAATAGCAATAAGAAGATAAAGAATAGTTTAGTACAATTATACCTTAATTACAAACTTCAATATTTTATTGGAATTTGAATCACATTTAAATAATGTCATAGCGCCCTTTACACATTTTACGAAGTGTGCACATTTATTGTTCCGAAAGTTATATCAAAAATGTTCTGAAAAATATGTAAATATGGAACTGATAAAATTTTTAAAAAAAATGTGGTATAGGTCATTTTAATGATCATACCAAATTTCAATACTTCCCCATATTGCGTTATAGGTCATTTTAATGATCATACCAAATTTACAATACTTCCCCATATTGCGTTATAGGTCATTTAAATGATCATACCAAATTTCAATACTTCCCCATATTGCGTTATAGGTCATTTTAATGATCATACCAAATTTACAATACTTCCCCATATTGCGTTATAGGTCATTTTAATGATCATACCAAATTTACAATACTTCCCCATATTGCGTTATAGGTCATTTTAATGATCATACCAAATTTACAATACTTCCCCATATTGCGTTATAGGTCATTTTAATGATCATACCAAATTTACAATACTTCCCCATATTGCGTTATAGGTCATTTTAATGATCATACCAAATTACAATACTTCCCCATATTGCGTTATAGGTCATTTTAATGATCATACCAAATTTACAATACTTCCCCATATTGCGTTATAGGTCATTTTAATGATCATACCAAATTTACAATACTTCCCCATATTGCGTTATAGGTCATTTTAATGATCATACCAAATTACAATACTTCCCCATATTGCGTTATAGATCATTTTAATGATCATACCAAATTTACAATACTTCCCCACATTATGTCATTTTAATTACTATTATGATAAACAGTATACTGCAATATCTATAATGTAGATAATGAACAGATGAATCAATGAAAAAAACGAACATAGCTTATTTTTGCTTTAAAAAAAAACCCAGAAAGATATCGATGTCGCGAAAATATATGACAATTGATTTTTTCTGTTTTCTGTAGAATTATTCACAATTTTTGTTGTTGTGCATATAATTGTTTGGAAATAAATACATTTTTAAAAATATTTTATCATTGTTCTCCATTGGCGATTTAGTCAAGCCGTTTAAAATAAAAATAATGAAAATTTGCAAACGGGTTGGTTACATGTAATATCCAGTTTATCAATATTAAGACGATGTCTATGACTATTTGGTGGATATTTCATGGCTATTATAATGTTGGACAATATCTTTAAAGTTCTTATACAAATTTTCATCTCGCATGTATTTTTATCACCTCGGGCAATAGTAATCAACGTGCGACCGATATACAGTCGACACTCAATTAAATCCACCCCGCTGGTGTTAATTGGGTCTACTGCATTCTTTATCGCTTTTTACACCTTATAAAAACACTGTAAGTAGTAAAAAATAATCGCCTGTATTTGTAGCCAAAAAGCAAAAATAATCGCCAATCTTATACATTTATCGCAAATGGCAACCATGGCGACCGACATCGTGAGCCCTGATTTAGATAATGCAGTATACTATTTAGCACATATACAAAGTAAAAGTTGTTTACATTAAAAAAGTATTGAGTCAGTGTAACGATAACAATTTGAACGCTGTATGTGTTTATGTTTTATTATGCAAAATATTGAAAATACCTCATGTTATACATGTATAGTAATAACATTAGTATAATATTGATTTTATTAAATCTGTGTTCCCTGAAAAATATAATGAAAAAATATACGCAAACAATCAGATACTTTGTACGAGTCCCTTGGCGACATAACTACCTTAACTACCATAACGACAGAGCTTTCTCCCAAAATAAATATCATATATTTTCTTTAATAACTGATGTTTTGATCTGAATTCAATTTTAAATGTTTTCTAAGCCATATATCTACTTAAAATGTATTTGTTTTTAATATGAATCGCTGTTTCGTTGAAAATTGGAGGAAAAATAATCTGCTTCATGATGAAAAGGACCATTTAGTCGCTAAATTCGGTAACTGGGAAACGCCGCCACAAATACATTTCAAACACTATCATTACAACTTTACGTCTGGAAATGTTAATCAAATTTTCATGGCATAGCATTCTCCGAATTTCTATATTTGGTGTAGAGTTTACAAAATATATAAAAAGTAAAAAACATTTAACTTTGATGATACCTGATTTTAACGACATGCACTAACTCGGAAGTAGCGATAGTGCAATTTGCTGTATACCTCCGAAAGAGGTAGTTCTATCATTTACCGGGCTTGGCATTGTTGTATATGTTTTTTAAATGGCCGTACTATTTACAGTACTTCTTCACAATAAGATTGATTATCTCTGCGAAGCGGAGTGAGAAAATGGTTTGAAATTTTGCACACGAGTCCAGACCTACATCAGTAATTCTAAAATCTTGAAAAAAAGTTCGAACACTAGTCTAGCTGTGATAAATCCATAATTACATGTTACCGCTGTTCAAAGATTATTAAAATGAATAAATATCTAAATCTTAAAAACCAGACATCATGAAAAAACTATTGCGAAAATGTCAAATTCAATCAAAAAGTAAACATGTAAGGGAGGCACGCATTCGACGGGCTTTGGCCAAAGAGATGTCTGTTAATCTTTGTTCTATGTCCATTTAAAATGTAATAACACTACACTAAATACACTATCATAGCAATATGATACCAAGACTCTTGTTCTTTTATAGATTTTACTCAAGATAATTTGTTTTGGTAGACATCTCCTCGACAGACGCTTAGAGGTATGTAATTTATAAATTTATAATATAGGTATCAAATTAAAAGTGCTATAGTTTATTTCAATATTTATATACATGTATGTTTTAGAGTATTCATAAGTGGAATTATTTTCTTTAAAGAAATTTAAACTCATACTTACTCCGTAAACATCACTCACTCATTAATGTTCACTACAGCATGCATTGTTAGGTCAAAATGGGCAGAGCAGGCTCCAAATTAAATATAAGCTAGATATTTGAAACTTAAATATGAATTTATAAGTCAAAATTGTCCTGACTTTAAAAGCTATCCTCATGATGAGATTTTCATTTCAGAGTCAGATTGATAAAGTTCATACTGAAGTTTGTACTTGTTCCATCCGTACTAGATTTTACATACAAATGTAGCATTTCTTTTAATTTAATTTAATTCCAGGTATTTGACACATTTGTTATAATGACGTCATTTGTAGTAGATATGATATTTGTGAAGGGATTGTCCATGTACACGTTGAAGCAGTTTGTCTATATACTCGCTTTCATGCTTCCCTGGCGGGTCATTCGGGTAACTAATAGTAAGTCTACATGTCATTTTGTACGATAATATTTCACAACATTTAAAGTGACATATGGTCATTTTTCCATTGTCAAATTGAGCTGAATTGACTACAAATTTCAAAGATTGACTCATATAATGGTGGTTGACTAATAGTTGATATTGAAATTTTTTTAGGATAAAATACAAATCAGCAAGGTAGCGTGCCTCCAACAATTTACCGCCACGTCCGATTTCTGATACGACCGTGAAGAACGGAAAATATGTAACGCTTTTTGTGCCCCCCCCCCCCACCTTGGGGGGGCATTTAGATTTACCCTTGTCCGTCCGTCCTTCCGTCCGTCCGTTCGCGTTTTGTGTCGCACGTAGCTCAAAAAGTATTTGACCTAGAGTCAGGAAACTTTACAGGAATGTTGATCAGTATGTGAAATTTTGCATCTGGGGTTTCGCTTGTAAAGTATTATGTTTTGTCAGAGTTATTGTCCTTGACTTAGTGAAAATTTGCAATTTTCAATGAATGATCAACATCGCTGTGATGCTATGCACCTGGGATTTTGCATTTGGATTTTTTCAGTTTTGTTAGAGTTATTGCCCTTGACTTAGTATAAATTTGCAATTTTCAACTTGTTCATGCATAGTTCAAAAAGTATTTGACCTGTAGGCCTAAAACTTACAAGAATGTTGGTTAAGCATGTGTACTTATGCGCCTTGGGGTTCGCTCATGGATTTATTCAGTATGTGTAAAGTTCTTGCTCTTTACTTAGTAAAAGATTTTAAGTTTTCAACTTGTGTCACATGTAGCCCAAAAATATTTGACCTAGAGTCATAAGATTGACAAAACAGTTGAGTGTGGGGGCACCCGTGTCCTATGGACACATTTCTAGTTATACACTACCAATTATCTGTCTTTATTCCAAATAATTCGCAAATTATTCATACAAAAAATGAAAATTGTACTCGTTTTTTAAAAGATGTACAACTTCGTTTTGCAGCCTTACAAAGGATGGAAATTATTCATGACCAGTAAAATTACAATTGTGCACAAGATGCCATTGCCAATTTTGTTCAAAGTGCGTTTCTTTTTCTGAAAACAACGCATCTTATTACCTGTTCCCCCATTGTACTCATCACCCAAAACAACTTTTTCGACTTTCAGGGCTAAACTGAGAGAGCTACAAGGTAACCAATAACAGAACAGTATGTGGTTTTTATACAGGGGTTCCGTGCAGCCTAGTTCTTACCTATAAATTTAACATTAACTGTATGCTTACCTCAATTTTACTACTTTTACCTAGCGTTCAGGCCGCCATTTTATGATCCAATTGTACGATTTTGGTTACGTTATCATCTGCAGTGTAAAATAATTCATGCTTTAAAACTTATCCTTTCTTGCATATCATGTGTTTTACCCATGCCGGAAATTTCACCTGGCATGGCGGGTGCCAGATGAGTCGCGTGCTGTACAATATGGCATGCTTAAGCCGTTATGAATGAAGTTGTAATGTAAGAAAATAGTTACGGGTGAAATGACATAAATTTCCATGGAAAATTGTTTATTAAGGTAAAGAATTTCAAATTTGGTGGAATATGCTAGAATATACAAGAAAAAATATCTGACATATGTTTGCGGTTCGGATCGGAATATCCGTCCCTCGGGATCTCGCCCATATGACGGATATTTCGATCTGAATCGCAACATATGATATATATTATTATTCTTGATTTATTAATTCTCGTTGTAATATAGTTAAGTACAGTAAAGAAGTGTTGTTTGTGTATCCTGCAGGTTTGGTTGTGGCAGTGAAGGATCACGAACATTTCCGACTGAAGATGTTATTTACACAGAAGAAAAAGATTGAGCATGAGAACAAACAGATACGAATTGATCGTGATAATTACAAGGTAACATTTATACTTTTACAGTGAAAAATTGCCTTACAGTTAAATATTGCCCCGTTGACAATTTTATACTACATTGTATTAATAATTATTCTTGCATATCAAACTGGTGTTTCCGTTAGTTTTACCCATGCGGAAATTTCATCTGGCAAGGGGTGCCAGATGAGTCGCGTGCCATATAATACCGTTATTTTAGCGCATTTTATGAATGAAACTGCTTGCCTTGATTCACCGTTATGAATGAAATTGTAAATTTACTAGTATACGCTATTGTATTGAAAACAGTTACGGATAAAATGACATGAAATTTTCATGATTTTTTATTGAGGTTTAGAATTAAAAATATGCGAGCAGATGGTAGGATATGCAAGAAAAATATATGACATGTTTTTGCGGTTAAGATAAAAATATCCGTCCCTCGTGTACCCCTCACCCCACCCTACCTCATGGGTGGTTACTCGACAAGCCTCTTTACCACCCAATGGGCGGGTACCCTCTGAACGGATATTCTAATCCGAACTGCAACACATTCACAGATATTATTAGTTTATGTAGCTAGATAGTCAATGTTTATTATACGACATCATTGTGTTAGCAACTATGTTCTATATTCAATTAGAATATAGATATTCAAAATACAAGGCAAAGTTTGTTATTCAAGGACTGCATATATTCTATACAAAATATGTTTGATCTTTAGAATAGTGTCAATTTTATAAAGATTACTAGTATTCCAAAATTCCTATCCGTACGGACTTTTGGGTATGACGATAACGATAATGTAATATTTTCGAAGAAACCAGGATATTACATAATTTAAAATGTTACAGGCATATGCAATGTTTCGTGGATAAAAATTGGTTATATTTCATGTTGGGATGTAAATATACATGTACTTCAGCTCTAACAGGATTGTCATAGAGCATTCATATTAAAATCAGATCGCGGCTCTTACAAAATTAACACTGGACATGTACTGAAATTCGCAGCAACAATCCATATCATAACTTGCATAATATCAGTACATGTATCATGTTGTTATTGTTACCAGCTAGTGTGGCTGATCGAAACTCCATTCCACACTTGTACTTAATCGTCTATCCTGTCGCTGTAGTCATTTGTGCAGCACGCCTCCAGATTCATGCCAAATTTCATAAAAAAAATGAAAATGTATTTGAATGTGTAATATTGTGAAGTAACCAAAAGGATGCAATTTACACATTATCAATGGCACTTACAAACCACGTAAATTACCAAAAAGTGGTCAAAATATGCATAAATGCATAATTGCCTTTACTGCGTTAGTAACGCAGTAGAACTATAGAAGTAAATACTGAAAAATCAGTCATTAATCGCACATAATATGTAAAATATAACTTGAATTTTGAAACTTTAACTTTTCCTGACATCTAAGTACATTTTGCTCAAGTTTGATTTTATTGAAATATATTGACTCATCTGGAGGCATGTAGCTTTAATGTTGTTTTAAATAAAGACTTCTATGAACCGATCTACTGAAAAAACATGCATGTAGAATTTAAGTAATATTCGTTTGCCCCTTTTTCTCAATCCATCAGTCATAGTATATGATTCGTTTAATTAATGACTGAAAACAAAATGTTGAGGAAGGTATTGATTGGTGAATTTATTATTGAAACAACAACAGGGTAAGACTTATAGATATGTCTCATATATCAATGTATCCTTTACTTTTCAGTGTTTATTTCATTACCCCTTTTAATGTTCTACTTTCTTTTCATCCTCAATAAGATTATAATTATTTTAATAAGGGAAAAGAAACAAAACAACAACAACTAATATAAAAGTAAGAACAATAGGCTAAGAAAAACTATTCAATATTTTGAATTTTCACATTTTCATTTTCACTTTATACAGGAACAGGTCGAATCTTTAAAGAAATTATGTCTCAGTGAAGGTATAGACGACTGGAAAATTTTCCAAAGCCTAGGTAATGCAGATTTCAAAGTGGAAGGCGTTTTTCTTTTTGGATCTTCCAAGCATGCGAAGAATTGCAAACGGTGATGCATGAAAGTGTCAATGTTGTAGAAACCTTAATTCTGTAAATAACTATGTGTGTTTATGTAATGTATCGTCGTTTCTCAAAGTTATTAATTAGAGTATTACCTTCCCTAATTATTCACTGGCAATAGCTCATTTTTTTAGTCTCTAAATCAACTTAAGGAGCTATGCACTAAATTATAAATGCTCATTTAGTCCAAAGGCGAGAATGTTCAGCCTTGATTTGCAATAATTTTTTATAATGTGCATAATGTTTGACCATTCACTGTCTGTTAAAAGATGTAACGCCGCTTACTCAACTCATATTTTAGATATTCAACTAAGCGCTATTTTTTTTCTATCGCGCAACTGATTTAAAGTGAAGCACCATGGAGCTTGTAAGTGACAAGTATTTGTGAATATGTGACACTTTTGTGGAAATTTAGTTCTGTATCTTCACACCTTTCCTCTCTTTTCAAACCAAAACTGTATGCCGAAAACCTTTTGACATTCATACCTAAAGAAATAACAGTTAAAAACCTTGTACAAATGTTGATTGTAATAACATATGGTGTGTATATGGGCTTAGTTTATGTATCGAATCAGTAACCCTAGATTGTATCAACAATAAGGTTATGTAAAACATATACAATGCTCAGCTCATCAAAGTCAATAAGCCACTAGACTTGAAAATAAAACGTCGAGCTATCGTACTATCGCGATTTTACTATCGTATTTTATATAAGCATCGTGTCATTGTACCATCGCAATGTTTCACCATAGCGTAATTGTCACCATCATTTCATCATCGTGTCTTTGTACCATCGCTATCTTTCATCATTGTTTAATTGTGCCATCGCTATCTTTCATCATCGTGTCATTGTATATTCACTGTCTTTCATCATCGTGCCCTTGTACTATCACAATCTTTCACCATCGTATTATGCACCATCGCATTTTTACCGTCGTGACATTGCACCATTGCTATCTTTCATCATCTTGCCATTGTACGGTCGCTATCTTTCATCATCATGCCATTGTACGGTCGCTATCTTTCATCATCATGCCATTGTACGGTCGCTATCTTTCATCATCATGCCATTGTACGGTCGCTATCTTTCATCATCATGCCATTGTACCGTCGCTATCTTTCATCATCATGCCATTGTACCGTCGCTATCTTTCATCATCATGGTATTGTACCGTCGCTATCTTTCATCATCATGCCATTGTACCATCGCTATCTTTCATCATCATGCCATTGTACCGTCGCTATCTTTCATCATCGTGCCATTGTACCATCGCATTTCACAACGTCGTGACATTGTATCATCACTATCTTTCATCATCGTGCCACTGTACCATCGCTATCTTTCATCATTGTGCCATTGTATCATCACTATCTTTCGTCATCGTGTCATTGTACCATCACTATCTTTCATCATCGTGCCATTGTATCATTACTATCTTTTATCATCGTGCCATTGTATCATCACCATCTTTTATCATCGTGCCATTGTATCATCACTATCTTTCATAATCGTGCAATTGTTGTACAATCACTATCTTTCATCATCGTGTCATTGTATCATCACTATCTTTTATCATCGTGCCATTGTATCATCACTATCTTTCGTCATCGTGCCATTGTACCATCACTATCTTTCATCATCGTGCCATTGTACCATCGCTATCTTTCATCATCGTGTCATTGTACCATCACTATCTTTCATCTTCGTGCCATTGTACCATCGCTATCTTTCATCATCGTGCCATTGTACCATCACTATCTTTAATCTTCGTGCCATTGTACCATCGCTATATTTCATCTTCGTGCCATCGTATCTGGTGAAAACACAGAAATAGGATGCTTAAACTTAGCGATGGTACGATGACATAATTGTGAAACACGATAGTACAATGACAGGATGGTTAAACATAGCGACGGTACGATGAAGCGATGATGAATGATAGTGATGGTACAATATCACGATGATGAAAGATAGTTTGCCAGAACTAGACTACTAGTGCCTTCACTTTTGCAAGTAACTCATAACATTTTTACATGCCAAAGCGAATGACCGTAGAAGGATTTCATGATCAATAATAACGAAAGTGGTTTGCAACGTCTGGGAATCGAACCTGGGTCGCCCGTTTCACAGTCCATCGCTCTACATATTAAGCCAACCGGACAGACGGAAATATCTAGCTCGCGGCTAACTATTTACCTGAAACTCGACAGAGCATCGTAACCGCCTTAAACAGTTACCATCAAGTTAGATATACAGTTACCATCAAGTTAGATATAGCGTTACCGCCTTAAACAGTTACCATCAAGTTAGATATAGCGTTACCGCCTTAAACAGTTACCATCAAGTTAGATATAGCGTTACCGCCTTAAACAGTTACCATCAAGTTAGATATAGCGTTACCGCCTTAAACAGTTACCATCAAGTTAGATATAGCGTTACCGCCTTAAACAGTTACCATCAAGTTAGACATAGCGTCAGTCGGTGTAAGATAATATGTGCATCGTGGTGTGTATCGTTATAAGGACATATTACCAGTATAAGGGCGTCACTGGGGCCACATATACTACAGTATAAGGGCGTCACTGGGGCCACATATACTACAGTATAAGGGCGTCACTGGGGCCACATATACTACAGTATGAGGACGTCACTGGGGCCACATATACTACAGTATAAGGGCGTCACTGGGGCCACATATACTACAGTATGAGGCGTCACTGGGGCCACATATACTACAGTATGAGGGCGTCACTGGGGCCACATATACTACAGTATGAGGGCGTCACTGGGGCCACATATACTACAGTATGAGGACGTCACTGGGGCCACATATACTACAGTATGAGGGCGTCACTGGGGCCACATATACTACAGTATGAAGACGTCACTGGGGCCACATATACTACAGTATGAGGGCGTCACTGGGGCCACATATACTACAGTATGAGTGCGTCACTGGGGCCACATATACTACAGTATAAGAGGCGTCACTGGGGCCACATATACTACAGTATGAGGGCGTCACTGGGGCCACATATACTACAGTATGAGGGCGTCACTGGGGCCACATATACTACAGTATGAAGACGTCACTGGGGCCACATATACTACAGTATGAGGGCGTCACTGGGGCCACATATACTACAGTATGAGGGCGTCACTGGGGCCACATATACTACAGTATGAGGGCGTCACTTGGGCCACATATACTACAGTATGAGGACGTCACTGGGGCCACATATACTACAGTATGAGGACGTCACTGGGGCCACATATACTACAGTTTTATAAAATATTAAATTATTTACATTCGTTTAGAATACAACTAAGATGTTTACCATCTTAGATTATTAAAGAATTTTAACTCTTATAATATTCTAAATAAAATTAAAACTGAAGTAATGAACTTTGACGTGTATTTTTATGAAAATCATCAAAAGTCAATTTAAAGCGATTAAAATAAGCGTATTACATTTTGCTATAAAAAGAAGAATCATACGGCGTGTATAGATTTAATCTTTGTTTTACCTTAAAAGTAAAAGTTAAGATATCTACTACGTACTTAAAAGTATGTACTACTTTATATCCCGAAGAAGTATACGTGTTTCTCTCTGTCCGTCCTCGTAACGTGTGTAATAAGTTCATCCAAAGATAACTTCCTAATAGCATATGAAAGACACTAATTTTGTAGTCATATCAAGTCATGTGTATGTTAAAATGAAAAATTACCGCAGCACAATAAGTTACCATACAGAACACACTGTTCAAACTTCATAGGATAATTGTCCATATTGGGCAAAAGACCCCTATTGATTTTAGGGTCCCTAGGTCAAAGGTAAAGGTCACTATTACCTTAAAACTGAAAACAGTTCCCGGAACATAACTTAAGTTCCATTTGGCCAACAATGTTCAAACTTCATAGGATGATTGTCCATATTAGGTAGAAGACCCCTATTGATTTTGGGGTCAAAAGGTCAAGGGTCAAGGTCACTATATCCTTAGAACTGAAAACAGTTTCCGGAGCATAACTTAAGTTCCATTTGGCCCACAATATTCAAACTTCATAGGATGATTGTCCATATTGGGCAAAAGATCCCTATTGATTTTGGGGTCACTAGGTCAAAGGTCAAGGTCACTTTTACCTTAAAACCAAAAACAGTTTCCGGAACATAACTTTAGTTCCATTCGACCCACACTGTTCAAACTTCATAGGATGATTGTCCATAATGGGTAGAAGACCCCTATTGATTTTGGGGTCACAAGGTCAAAGGTCAAGGTCATTATTAATATATTAAGTATTAATCGTCTACATCTGTAAAATTTTATAGGATGAACAGCTAATTCCCATGTCTTACAAATGCTTCATCCTTACTAAAAAAAGAAAGTTTTAATTGAAGAAATAACCGCATGCAGTATATACGTACCAAAACAGGAAAAACATGTTGTTTTTTGTTTGTTTGTGTGTGTGTCTTTTTTGGCAAAGATTTCAGCTGTCACACTGGTTTAGCGGCAGAAGAAGTAACAAACGCTATCCTCTCAAGTCAGATACATTGTTGCTTTTAATATATCAAATGTCATTTCAGTACATTTGATTTGTCATTTTAGTGGATGAATATATACAAGATTGAGTGTGAATCAACAACTAACAATATAAGAAGATATAAGTGGCACTTGGTTATTTGCTCGAATGTTAATTACTGTTTGATATACATATCCTGTAATCAGTTTGTCATCATTGTTGTAATATTATAAATTTCACATAATATTTTGTACTCGAAGAGTTTATTATACATTATGAAAAAGAAAACATAGAGAAATATAACGGGAATAGGGATAAAACAATAATTGAAAATAATGTGACAATATGTGATTTTATATTCTGTAAGAAGCTATGTGTGTTTAAATGTTGTAAAGACATTTTATATAGATGTGAAATCATGTGGGAATTATGCAGGCATGTATTCCTTTTAACCTCAAAAGTGATCTGGTATGCATGTATGTTTTAAAGGCAATAAAAACATTTCATTGATGGAAAGCCTTATTTTACTTCTTTTTCCTTTAAAGTATATTTTGCTTTCTCGATGTTGTCATGCTTTATCCCCATCAGTATTTGTAAAAGAATAAAATACACATAAAATGCATGTTCTGCAATGCATTAAAGAATGGAAAGGAAACGTAAAAACCAATAATTATGTTTCCCGTATTTATATTTGGTTGTCTGACAATTTCATTATGCTGAAGAAATCTAATCTTACACTTTCCAAAATTATATTTTTAGTTATATTTCTGTTACAGAGACGTCGGTCTTTTTATCATTTAAAAATAAACTGTTTATATCTACAGCTTGACATGTCAAACTCTATAAGCTATAGTATGGCATAACTTCTGTTTCATTTCGAATAACAAGTTGGGAGTTTTTCATTAAGTGAAAAATACTAAAAATCTGACCGGACGATTTTATTGGAAGTTCAATATGCATCCTTAAAAACATAATTTTCCCATTTGAGATCCACACTTAAATTCCATTGTTTATACATTAAGTACTAACGTCATAATTCTATCTTTCGTAAATGAAAGGTAAGTAACTTTTAAGACATACTCTGTATGAAAATAGTTAACGTGAAATGTGATCCTGTCTAACGCTTCTGTACTTGTCTATTGTGAACGTTAAAAAATGATAAGCAGTGATTAAGATAAATGTTTCAAATTTTGATATTTTTTCCAAACACTTATTTCTATCATATTTAACAATTCATTCTCTATCGCATTATGATAGTCGATATTTCTTGTTATTCTCTCATCTTCTTCACATGTATAAACTATTTTCAATATACAGACCTCGAGATGTTTTATGTCAATACAAAATTGACATAACTCGCAGAAAGCTTTCAAATATGTCCCAAAAGCCAGACTAATCTGTTTTCCTTCAGTTACCAGTTATTGGAGTTGTCATATCATACCCAAATCGTAATATCTTGTGATCGCATGATATTTGTTATAAATGTTTTGTAAAGAATGTTCAGCTGTAAAATCCCCTTGCTTAGCTCTAGGGAGAGCATCCGGATTGCTTTGTTAGATCCTCGAACTAGGCGAATTTTTTACCTTGCAACTGATCTCGGACATTGAGTTTAATGGTTATTAAAATATCATGCGATAGTATATAGTCGGTCACTTGCGGAGAAAATGGTAAGTTCAGGTTAATTATCCAGGAAAGCATGTAAGGTTGACAGGCCGGCGATATATCACAAAAATGTGTTAAGATCGGTGTTAAAACAAGAAAATTACGCTTAAACTTTTTGACCTCAGTTAAAAGAATGACAATAACAATTGAAAGAAATGTCAGTAACCGTAACCATGATCATTATTTATACTAGTCCAAACAGATAAATTATTTCGCAGTTTCAGGGTTAATCTCATTTTACAGTATAGTTAATCTCGAGATCATATTAAATGATAAATAGATAAAATATGTATGCTTACGACTTGAAACCGACATGCCTGAAATCAGAGTCCACCAACAAACAACTTCTGTTACTGAGATTACCACGAACATTTATTGTATTAGATCACTGTGCATCACTGGTAACAATTATAAATATAATAAGTGTTATAGTATTAATCTTAACTTTTTACAGCAAGGCAACGACCAGGTGGTAAAGGAGCGATGGGATCATTTGCTAGTCTTGCTTTTGGGGCATTCGGGAACAAATCTTCTAGTTTTTGGTCTGTTTTGGGTACACCTAAATTGAGAAGAGGTAAATCGATGGACTTAGTAGACAATAAAGTGAGCAGCGTTGATTGTAGGTATCAAACAAACGATAAACGTCATAGTAAAGGCAAGATTTTATCCTTTCTCGGTTCATCTGCTGACTTTTTCAGCAAAAAGCGTAAAAATGGTCATCATATATCTGTTGATAGTGACCCAGGTATTGCTGTTAACTACCTGAAGCATAATGCGGCAGTTCATCAAAATGGCCATATAGGTAAAAGACTTGTACGTGGAGAAACTATAGATACGCTATCTACAGATTCTATAGACTGTCTGAATGATAAACCACATTGTGAAAATGTTGATGATTACTCAAAAGAGGAAACTGCTGACTCTAGTTTATTTGGGGAAGAGACAAATTCTGTTTCTCATAATGACGATGAATCAGCATCTATGCAAAGAACTCAAAGTGACATTACACCGTGTAGACCGTTCCTTTGCCGAAGTGATAGAATAAGGGAAGAGACTGGGTCACTTGACAGACCAAGGAGCGCTTCCATTGGTGCATCAACTCAAAATCGTCTGACTGTAGATCATCACGCAGTGTTTTACTCTGTTAGTTCAAATGAGTCTGTTTTCAGTAAAAAAGAGGACGTTTGACTATAGCAAACGTGTTTAAAACATTAAAAACATATCAATGTTCGTGTTGTTATTGAATCATTAAACTAACTTTCATATTTAGCATGAATATACTTTTCAGCAAATATTGTAAGTGAGTACTGCTTCGTTACTAAATTAGTGCAAATTTAGATCCTTATTATGCAATTCTGTATGATAAAGTCATATTAAAATGGGACATACCTTAACCTAAATATAAGTTATCTTTAAGAAATAGTTGTTCTTTTATCTTTAGAAATGTGGTTTTCAGCTGAGGATATGTACCTAACCCGTAACTTATAACATCTGAAAGTCTAGGTGCGGAAATCTGACTTTAACTGAATGTTGTGAAACCTAATAAAGAAGCTTAGGATTCTTTAAGCTTACTTCAATATGTAACACCTTCTTGATGTTAAAACGTCGAAAGCTGAAGAAACAAAATTATATAACTACAATATGTAAAAAAGTACGAGAGAAATACAAATTTTGATTTTTTTAAAACAAAAAGTTACGACATATTATAAAAAAAATGCTATTTAGTTTTTTTTATTTAAAAAGGACTCCACGGAATTTTTTTTGGTGCGTTTTTTTGACATCATGGGACTGTAAATATTTTTTCAAGATTTGAATACCATTTGGTAAAAGTCTATTCCAATGTGTTTAAAATTACAGACTCACTCTTACAGACTCACTTACTCCGTTTTTCCAGAGTGAAAATTGGCCTAGTAATTTAAATTTAAAAACGACTTTATCTCATATCCTACTGAGAATCGCAATAAATGTCGATTTTTAGTTTAATTCTGAGAATATTTCTTCACTGATAGTTTTATGTTTTAGGCTTTTTGCTCATAGTCAAGCTCCTTTACTTTAACTCCCAGGATTGATATTGACCATCATTTGTACTACTAGAAACACATTTTTGTGATCAATAAGGTTCATCCCCGTGTATTGCGCTCTGTCACACTATCTAGGGATCATTTCGAATAGAACTTGAAGATCCTTAAAGAGCTCTTTACGGCAACAGCTACCAATAGTGTACCTCTTGGTGCTCAATCTGAAAGGATCATTTTAGGGCGTAATAGCGCTCCTGTTATCTACTACGTACATCGCTATATGGGTCGGATTATTTTATGACTTGTGACTTTATTCCTGTCAAAGAAATACTTACTCGCATTTTAGGTATCTGTGTTAGCAAATGAAGTATGTGAATGAAATACAGGAAAAATCAAAAGGAATAAAATGTGTAAAATTCTTCAAAATATCTATTTGTATATATCATTCTGCAATTTATTTAAATATTAATAAAATTTATCATAAAATAATCTCTTTTTGATCATCAAGAACAAAATTACTATCCAGCTCCCGTTTACTATATATATATTTGATATAATTATACAAAATGTAACTCGCCGTAGCGTATTTCCAGACATGGTCAATATTTTGCTCTCACATCTTTTAAATCCACCCAAGTAAACATACATTTAGATGCTTGCCATTCATAAAAAAGTACTCCAAGCATGTTAAAACATTGAATACCAACTGTATTATGTTTTTGTTGACATTTTATGTCTCTCATTTATGCAATTTAAACTTAATTTTATCACATTCTTTTTCGGGTATACATTATATTGCCACCATTACGTGACGCGCAATGAATTAGCCAATGACAACTTTCCATATTTTTCCATTGACAGCAGCATGGCGGACAAGTTTGAAGGAAAAATGTGTATTAAAATTTGGTTAAAATGCGCATACATGTGACGTGTAATATGTGACAATCGTTATATAATAACTGAAATTCAATGCTATATCTTAATGCGCTGATGATAATTCTTTTTACTTGATGGATCAGATCAGTCTTTTTTTTAACCACGTTTAAGGCCCGTTTATTTCAAGAAAAGACTACAAGAATACAAACCATGATAACTTTAGCATTTACATTGATACGTAGATCAGTCTCTTAAAAACACTCAATGAACTCGAACAATATTCAAGACGTTCAGGACTTAAAAGAAACTTTGAAAATCTTATACCATATGGTTACGATTAAAAAAATATAGCACCTATTCCATAAAAACAAAATTTAAATTTTTTGGGGGAAAATCACTATTCAAACTTCTTAACATTCACTTTCATGTGGAATCTACAGAAAATGGTTGAACTTAATTACAAAGAGAAAATAAACAAATTAGAAAATTCTGTACAATTTTGGAATCGCATACGAGTATATTTGACCCAAATAGGAAAAGTAACTGTCATTAAAAGTCTCTTAACCCATTACTGCATGAGCATTTTGTGAAAAATGGCTGTTTTCATTGAAAAGTCTCCCGTTACAAGTTCAAATTGCTATAAAACTATAAAATCTGCTTCAATACAAATCAAACTTGGCACAAATGTTGACTGGACCATTGCCTTTGTAACGACATGCTCAGTCTTAAATTTCCTGTTACCATGGCAACGAGGGGACATCTCAAAATTGCCAAAAATAAATATTTTGCGTTGATTATTTCCATCAAAATTGATTTCAAAGTGCTGCAACTTCTCAATGGATTGAGATAGAGTCAAAGGCTTTTCAGCGTTGGTTAAATGATACCTTATGTTCGACCTGGGGTCATTTTTAGCCTCTCACAAGTCCAAACTTTTCTTGGCGATGAGGGGGACTACCGCCACCTTCACCCCCCCCCCCCAAACAGAAGAGGGCAAATCTCCTTTTAGCAACCCCCTGATGTTTTTTTTTTGGATAGGGGACGGCGCCGAAAAAAATGGCACTTTTTTAAACAACATTTCTCAAACAAAAACAAATGCTGGGGGCCTAAATAAGGCATTTTTTCACCATTTCAGACAACAGATAGGGGGTGGTGGAAAAAGGCGTTAAAAGGCGTGCATATCGCGTAATGGGTTAACAGAAAATGATGAAAATACCTGAAATTACCAAAAATCGCGTTTTCCATGTTATTGCATGGCCTAACTTATAATTTTGAAGAAAAATTGTTGTTTTTTAGATTTTTTTTATTAACATAAAATGATGAAAATACCTGAAATTACGCAAAATCGCGTTTTTCTATGTTATAACATGGCCTAACATATAATTTTGAAGAAAAATTGCTGTTTTATAGATTTTTTTATCAGTTATTACACTGCTTTCACATGATGTAACAATTTTGAAAAAAATAAATGCAATCTTATTTATTTCATATGGCAAGGTCCGGCCAAAGTAAAAAGAGCAATTATAGTAATGGACTATTGTGAAGGAGGTCTAAAAATGATTAATTTAGAAACATTTATCAGAGGAATGAAACTAACATGGATTAGAAGGTTAATTTTTTATAACAGCCAATTTAGGAGGTTAATTTTTTATAACAACCAATGGCAGACACTGACATATCTTTATTTTGATGAACCTAAATGTTCACTTGTGGAAAACACTATGCTGAAAAAAATATCGTTGATGAACACTGATTCAGAAAAATTGTCTTAATGAAGACATAATCACAATATTAAAATTGGTGAAAAAAGTGTTGTTTTTTTACAAATCTTGGTACCATGTATTAATGGCAATTTTTATAAAGACAATATACATGTAATCTTAACTAAAGATAAATTACAAAATATGTTTGGTTTGAGTATAAATATACTGCATTATATGGGAATCAAAAATAGTATTAAGAAATTTCTTTAAAAAATGAAAATCAATGTAAATATCATAAATAAGCAATAACAACCCCTCTGACCTACTTACTTATCAGTCATCATTAAGAATAAACACGGCATCAATGCCATGTACAAAATAACAATAACACTGAAAAACCAACAAGTCAGTAAATGGCAACATACATTTTCAAATGGAAATTTTATTATAGTCTGCCCTTTAACAACACTAAAAATACTAGTTCACAAGGGCTACAATTTAGAATATAACATAGAATATTACCACTAAATGAATATCTTTACAAACTAAAATTGAAAGACTCTCCACTTTGTTCATATTGTAATGTAGAAAATGAAAACATTGAACATCTCTTTTGGCCATGTGTTCATACATCTAGGCTTCTCAGTGAAGTAAAAATAGTATGTGAAAGAAAAAATGTACAATTCCAAGTGAATGAAAGAAAAACGATCCTAGGTACAAAAATATGCCACTATATAATACATAACTATTAATAATAGAGATCATTTTTCAAAGAAGATTTTTACATGGAACTTTGACATTCCCTAGACTCAATTTTTTTCACTTTCAATACAATTTAAATAGAAATATAGTTTTCAAAAGAAATACATTATTAGATTTTGAAAAAGAATGGAAACTGGTCTAAAATATATTTCGAGGACAATAAAAAAAGACTTCAACATCCAAAGCTAGGTTCCAGTGTTCTTTTTGTTATGGGTCGGAATATCGTCGGAATATATCGCTTCTACGTTGTAGATGGGACATTTTGTCCATACATAAGATAGAACATCAACTCGTTGTGCAGTTTGTCGGACTAATGCTTATGAGAGTTCTGTTTAACTGTTTGCAAATCAACATTGAATTTAAACAAGTAATTACTGTCATTAGTAAATAAGTGTATACTTACACTGCTAACATTTCTTCGTGAATACAAAAATCGAAAAGATATTTGCAAATAAAAAAATAATAATGCAAACATGGCAAAGAAGTTAATAAGTAAATAAGGAAGATGACTTAATGAAATTTCAGCATTATTGCTTTAACAAACATTGCTAGATTAAATGAAGTATTTCTGTTATCAATACACATTAAAGCCTGAAAATTTAAAATACTAGGAAACCTTGAATAGTAATCACTGATATACTTGTGTCTTTCATGAGTAAAATAACTACATTAAAAATATAATGAAATTCATCGCCTATTTCTCGCTGGTTACAAAGTGAGCAAGTTCTATTTTCTCTTTCAATACCAAAATAGCGACCTTTCTCCATAGGAAGGTAAAAATTGAGACATCTAACCTTACAAAGAGTAATTGCTAGATTACTTGGTAAACATAGTAAATAATGTTCTAATTTAAATTGAGTTTTAAAATTCAATG